TGTTCCCTTGGTATCTCTAATTTTCTTGAAGAGATCTCTAGTCTTTCCCATTCTATTGTTTTCCTCTATTTCTTTGCACTGATCACTGAGGAAGGCTTTCTTATCTCTCCTTGCTATTCTTTGGAACTCTGCATTCAAATGGGAATATCTTTCCTTTTCTCCTTTGCTTTTTGCTTCCCTTCTTTTCACAGCTATTTGTAAGGCTTCCAGTCACACAGAATTCTCCATCCTGACACATCAAGAGTCCCTGGTTTACCATGGTCATTACACCAAAAAAAAAAAAAAAAAAAGTAGAGACTTGAATCAAATAGAAATCCAAGTTAAAAAAGTCTGTATATATAAATGGATTTTAAAATATATGCATGTATATATCTTCATATATATTTAAAGTCCAGCAGAACATAGGCCAAGTTTTAATGGTAGTTATTTCGTAGCAGTGAGATCAGAGGGTACATTTATTTTCTGAATATTCTTCAAAAGGAAAATCAATACACACTATTTTTAAATCCTTCATTTTCCCAGGATTATATTTGATTTATCTTCCAACTTTCTTTATCCACTTCCCATCTTACAATATTGTCACCATTGCCTCCTTTATTCAGAAAGACAAGAATGTTCATTCAGATCTCCTCCTCCTATCACACCACAAGCAACATCATTAGGAAAATCATACTGTAACAGTTTTTTACCTATTTTTATCACCATGTTTTTATTGGTCTCCTTCCTTCCCTCCTAATTCTTTCCTTCCCTCTTCATTTTTTTCATTCATTCTTTCATATAGCAAACATTTGTCAGAGCCACACTTGGTATTATGGGCTGAGAAAGTAAAGAGGAACAAAATTGAATCCTGCCCTCCAAGAGCTAACAAGCTAAAAGACAGGCAGAAAGACGGGAGAAGACTGTGCTACAGGCAGCAAGAAATGAACTGGTGAAAGAGAAAGGCTGTCACTAAGTCGTATCCAACTCTTTTGTGACCTCATGGACTGCAGCCCGCTGGGCTCCTTTGTCCATAGGATTTCCCAGGCAAGAATAAGGGAGTGGGTTGTCATCTCCTCCTCCAGGGGATCTTCCTGACCCAGGGATTGAACTCACATCTCCTGCTTGGCAGGTGGATTCTTCACCACTGAGCCACCTAGGAAACCATAAAGCATAAAATGGAAACTGGCAAGAAGCCAAAGAAAGTTGTGACTGCTGCAAGGAAGAGAAGTCCTACTGACTACAGAGAGACCAGAAAACCTGAGAGACAAAGTGAGCCCATGACATGTGCTGTGGGTCCCCCAGCTCAGCAGGGACTCTCAGCCCCTAACCCAGCACCACCTACAGTGTTCTGCAGGGCAGCCTCGCTCTCCTCCAGGCTCAGGCGCATCTGCGTGATGAGCCTGCGAGTATCCTGAGCTCGGTCCTGATGCTGGCTGCCCAGGGTCCGAAGTCTCTCCACGGTCATCTTGAGGTCATCCAGGCGGGTCCTGTAGCTATTCTCTTGGCTCCTGGCCTTGGCCAACTGGAGGTTGAGGGATCTAATAGCACCTGAATACCAACAAAGAAAGGGAGGATGAGCACGTTGGGGGGTCAAGTCATCAAAAACAGAGGGCTGAAAAAGTGACTTTGGCTTTCAGCAAAACAGTAATAGCCCAGTATGTGAATGCATGCTCTTTTATCTCCATCATTTCAAATCTCAGGAGAATATCACAGACAGTTCTGCCACCTCCGCAAGGGTGAGGCAGAGACATCTGCTGAACTGTTACCACCAAAGATTCTATGACCCAGGGGACTGCTTTCTAAACCTCTGAATTCTCTCCTGTGTGAAACGGGCCTCCATTACCTTCTGAAATCTGGGCTTCTCTCAGAAGGTCCTGAAGGGCCTGTTCAGCCTGCTGCATCCTGCCCTCCAGCTCTGCGTCGGGTACTGCTCCTCCGCCAGCCTGAGCCTTCGAAATCAGGGTCTCCAGGTTCTCAAGTTGCTGCATAAACTGATCCATCTGAAACCACGAAGGAAAGAGGATTAGAACAGAGGATGGAGTTCATGGTGGAATACTATATGGCAGGTATCCAGGGGCTAAGCCTTCCCAGGTGGAACTAGTGGTAAAGAACCCACCCGCCAATGCAGGAGACAAAAGAGACACCGGTTCGATCCCTGAGTCAGGAAGATCCCTTGGAGAAGGGCATGGAAATACTGGTTGCCACTCGAGTGTTCTTGCCTGGAGAATCCCATGGACAGAGAAGCCTGGTGGGCTACAGTCCACAGGGTTACAAAGAGTCAGACACGACTGAAGCGACTGAGCACATGCATGCGTCCAGGGGCTAATGGCTACGAGTCCAGAAATGCTTGGCATGTCATGGTAAAATTCAGACCCTAGAGCCTAGACTTTCCGAGTCTGGATCCTGGTTCCACTACTCACTAGCTATGTGACCTTAGGCAAGTCACTTTCTTTATCCGTAGGATGAGGATAATAATATCGCACAGACTTATTATTTGGACTAAATGAGTTAGTATTTGTAGAATAGTGCCGGGAATAGAGGAAGTGCTATAGAGGCCAGTTAAATAGATAAATTTAAAAAAACAAGTTGAGTTTGTTCTACATTTGGGTTCTGTTTGGACCCTTTCCTCCCCCGCCCTTCACTTCAATAAAAATAATAATTCATAATTAACAACAACAACATCAATTTCATTCTTCTCTGGAATTTGAATGAGAAATTTCTGGAGGCCATTCCTGTTTGGACACCCTGGCACCTTTAGATTCCTCATATCTTTTATGCTGTTGTTCTGTCGCTAAATCGTGTCCAACCTTCTGCGACCCCATAGACTGCATCACGCCAGACTTCCCTGTCCTTCACTATATCCTGAAATTTGCTCAAACTCGTGTCCATTGAGTTGCTGATGCCACCCAACCATCTCATCCTCTGTCACCCTGTTCTCCACCTGCCCTCTATCTTTCCCAGCCTCAGGGTGCTTTCCAATGAGTCAGTTCTACACATCACGTGGCCAAAGTACTGGAGCTTCAGCTTCAGTATCAGTCCTTCCGATGAATATTCAGGATTGATTTCCTTTAGGATTGACTGGTTTGAACTCCTCACTGTCCAAGCTGCTTAAGTCTTCTCAAGCACCACAATTTGAAATCACCAATTCTTTGGCTCTCAACCTTCTTAACGGTCCAACTCTCACATCTGTACATGACTACTGGAAAAACCATAGCTTCAACTATATGGACCTTTGTTGGCAAAATGATGTCTCTGCTTTTTAAATATGCTGTCTAGGTTTGTCATAGCTTTCTTTCCAAGGAGCAAGCATCTTTTAATTTCATGGCTGCAGTCTCTATCCACAGTGATTTTGGAGCCTAGGAAAATAAAATCTGTCACTGTTTCCACTTTTTCTCCTTCTATTTGCCTTGAAGTGAAATTTTGTTGTTGGTAATGCTTCCTAAGGCCCACTTGACTTCACATTCCAGGATGTCTGATTCTAGGTAAGTGACTACACCATCATGTTATTTGGGTCAGTAAGACCTTTTTTTTTGTATAGTTCTTCTGTGTATTCTTGCCTCTTCTTAATTCTTACCTCTTCTTAATCTCTTCTGCTTCTGTTAGGTCCTTACCATCTCTGTCTTTTATTGTGCCCATCCTTGCATGAAATGTTCCCTTGATGTCTCCAATTTTCTTGAAGAGATCTCTAGACTTCCCCATTTTATTGTCTTCCTCTGTTACTTTGCATTGTTTACTTGAGAAGGCTTTCTTATCTCACCTTGCTAGTCTCTGGAGCTCTGTATTCAGTTGGGTATATCTTTCCCTTTCTCCCTTGTCTTTTGCTTCTCTTTCCTCAGCTATTTGTAAAGCCTCCTCAAATAACCACTTTGCCATCTTGAATTTCTTTTTCTTGGGGATGGTTTTGGTCACTGCCTCCTATACAAGGTTATGAACCTCCATCCATAGTTCTTTAGACACTCTATCAGATCTAATTTCTTGAATCTATTTGTCACCACCACTGTATAATCATCAGGGATTTGATTTAGGTCATACCTGAATGGCCTAATGGTTTTCCCTACTTTCTTCAATTTAAGTCTGAATTTGGTAATAAGGAGTTCATGATCTGAGTCACAGTCAGCTCCCCAGTTTTTGCTGATTGTATAGAGCTGCTCCATTTTCAGCTGCAAAGAATGCAATCAATTTGATTTTAATATTGACAATCTGGTGATGTCCATGTGTAGAGTCATCTCTTGTGTTATTGGAAGACAGTGTTTATTATGACCAGTGTGTTCTCTTGGCAAAACTGTTAGCATCTGCCCTGCTCCATTTTGTTCTCAAAGGCCAAACTTGCCTGTTACTCCAGGTACCTCTGGACTTCCTACTTTTGCACTCCAGTCCCCTATGATGAAAAGGACATCTTTTTTTTTGGTGTTAGTTCTAGAAGGTCCTGTAAGTCTTCACAGAGCCAGTCAACTTCAGCATCAGTGGTCAGGGCATAGACTCGGATTACTGTGATGTTGAATGGTTTGCCTTGGAAACAAACTGAGATTATTCTGCCATTTTTGAGATTGCACTCGAGTACTACATCTCAGACTCTTTTGTTGACTATGAGGGCTACTCCATTTCTTCTAAGGGATTCTTGCACAGACCATTGTAGTAGATACAACGGTCATCTGAATTAAATTCACCCATTCCCGTCCATTTTAGTTTACTGATTCCTAAAATGTCAATGTTCACTCTTGCCATCTCCTGCTTGACCACATCCAATTTATCTTGATTCATGGGCCTAACATTCCAGGTTCCTATGCAATACTGTTCTTTACAGCATCGGGCTTTACTTTCACCACCAGACACATCCACAACTGAGCACTATTTCCACCTTGGCCCAGCCACTTCATTCTTTCTGGAGCTATTTCCCTGCTCTTCCCCAGTAGCATATTGGACATCTTCCAACCTGGGGGGCTCATCTTCTGGTGTTGTATCTTTTTGCTTTTTCATACTGTTTATGGAGTTCTCAAGGCAAGAATACTGGAGAGATTCGACATTCCCTCCTTCAGTGGACCACGTTTTGTCAGAATTCTTCACTGTAACCTGTCTCGGGTGTCCCTGCACAACATGGCTCATAACTTCATTGAGTTATGCAAACCCCTTTGCCATGACAAGGCAGTGATCCATGACACCTCTTTTATATGTTTAGGTTTCCTTTGTTTGTTTCATAAGGACATTTCTTGGAAAAAATCCATCTAGAAAGTGGCATATTATAATAGAGCACTGAATTCAGATTCAGTGGACATGGGTGGCATTTTCGGTTCCCCCATGTGACTTTTGAAAAATAACACATTTCTCAAAACTGGTAAATATAAGAACATAACTCTGAAGTATTATTACTACTACAGGGAAACTTTTTAACATAACAATTTTTCAAGAGAGAAATAGTAATCCCCACTCCTGTCCTCAGGAGACTAGGAGGAGCCTGGGTTTGTAACAGGACCACCCAAAAGACACTTGAGGATTTTACTTGTGAAGGTGAGGGCTGGCTAGCATGCACACCTGGCTCTTCACTTGATTGTAGCAGGCTGGACAGTTGGTTAATGCTGCGTGGTCACAGTGGAGGCCGTCAAATCCTGGCTTGCAAACACAGCTGCCATCACTTCTACACTCCACGGGCTCCGAGCCCAGTGGGTGGCAGTTGCAAGCTGGAGACAAAAGACAAACAGGAAGCTTTCATGTCAGACTAATTCTGGAGCCTGGAGGTCTAGCAAAGATAAAAGGAAGACCCAGTTACCCAGAGCAGAGAACCCTTCTTCGCCCTTGTTGATTCATGTTGTGTTGGATTCGTTTCCTGGCTATATCTCCAAGCACATTCCCAACACAGAGAGGTCTTGGGAATCATCTGACAGGTTTGTTTTGTGTGTGTGTGTGTGGATGAAGAGATACTTCAACAGCCCATCCTTTCTAGAGACACTGATTTACTTCCCCCATTAAATTGTAAGTCTCTTGGATATTCTGCAGACACTCTGGGTTTGCTCACAGGGAGAGTAACATTTCTTCTGGGCCTATAATATGCCAGATGTAGACATCTCTCTATATATTACAGATGAGAAATACGGGCTCAGAGAGGTTGAGTAATCTGTCCTAGGACACACGACAAGAAGATGGCAAGAATGAGAACCTGGAAAGAGCCAGTGCTATTTCCCTTCTGTTCTGCTGCCTTTGACGTAGGAAGTGCAGCAAAGCAGAACCTTTACTCAGTCAAACTGATTCAGTAGCACTACGTGTCACGTTCTGTTCTAGGAGCTGAGGATATAACAGTGGGTCAGACACTGCTCAAATGGAGTGATTCTTTGGGTACTCCAGCTTTAGTGATCACAAAACACCTGGAATAACGTATGAGCACGTGTTATGATTTGCTTCCATATTTACGTGTCTTCTTTATTAACATATGAGCTCTTTGTGAGCTGGGCTGACTTATTCATTATTATAACCTCAGTATCTAGCTCCACACTGCACACATGGTAAGAGCTTGATAAAAGACAGTTCAGTGAAAAAATTGTACTGTCTAAAGGCAGCGAAATCTCTATTAATAGCAATAATAGCAAAATCTATAAATTAATCTATTTATAGATTTGGGCTTCCCCGGTGGCTCAGACAGTAAAGAATCTGCCTGTGATGCAGGAGACCTGGGTTCAATCCCTGGGTTGGGAAGATCCCCAGAGAAGGAAATGGCAACCCATCCAGTACTCTTGCCTGGAGAATCCCATGGACAGAGGAGCCTGGTGGGCTACAGTATATGGATTCGCAAAGAGTTGAACATGATTGAGCAACTAACAATTTCACTTTTCTTTTCAGATGGAATTATATGGTTTACAGTGTGCTTTCTCATATGCTCTTTTATCTTTGCAACCACTTTGAGTAAAATATTAATCGTCCATATGAGGAAACTGAGACTCAGAGAAATTAATTGGCAAGATCAGAATAATACAAGAGGTATGCTAAAAAACTGGACTTAAACTCATACTGCTGATGTCATGTGAATGCTTCCTATCATAGAACATCACAGCTAACCCACAAGCTGGGGTCAGGGCAGGTGGAATTTGTGTCTCTGGGTAGAAGCCTTAAGTTGCACAGAGCCTCAAGCATCCAGGGCTGGGCACTCAGTTGTGAATGAGGGACTGTGGGCGCCCTGCAGACCTCCTGGGGAACCTCCAGTCTGGGTCCCCAGAGCCACTCTGGACCTTAAAATAAGCAAGCTCCTGAGTTCTGGGCTCCAGGCTGGTCTGGGACCTTGGTGACTGAGGGGTGAGTCTAGGTAGCAGGCCGGCTCCCTTGAACTGAATTTGCCTCTAGAACAGAACATGTGCAATGGCTTGAAAGAAGGGCCGAGCAAGAGGCCCGGTCTGCACATTCATGCTTTGATCTGATCTGAAGCAGCGCCCAGGAATGCTCCACGAGAGCTACTGCTTTGAAGCCCGACCTCCTGAGTAGATGTGTGGACTGTCACCTTTCTATACATCAATCACACAGACTTCCTGAGAGGGTCTCTCCAACTACTTCACTGCCCACTCCCCTCCCACTTCAGTGTATCCAAGCTTCATCTCGAGTCATTTATTACCTTCCTCTTACGGGTCTGGCAGCCACTTGCCTGCCTACCAGCCTGGGGACTATGCATAGGAGGCAGCCCCATTTTATCTCCTCTTCCACTTTGGAATGTAAACCCGACCCTTTTCACTTCTCCCACTCAGCCTTAACCCTTTCGACATCCTCTGGCTCTGACTGTCAGAGCCCTGCTGCAGGGGAAATTGGTCTTAAGACTTCTGATCAGTGAAAGGTCCAGGCAGGTCAGAGAAGCCAAAGGAGCATCACAGTATTATCTGCTGTCAGCCTTGCCCATTTATATGTTCTCACACGTGTACATGCACAAACACACACACACACATACACACACAGCCTGGCCAGTCTGCCTAGGGGTGCAGTCCTACCTCGACACTTGTCCGCTGGGTTGGCAGCCAAGGGGTCCCCATAGTAGCCAGCTTTGCACTGGTCGCAGTGGGCACCGGTCGTGTCGTGAAGGCACTTCAGACACCTGCCTGTCAGGCGGTCGCAGTTCCCAGGGGCACTGGGGTCCACGTTGTTGCTGCACTGACAGGGCTGACAAGGTCTCACTGGACCATGTTCCCCAAAGGGGTCCCCAAAGTAGCCATCAGCACAGAGCTCGCAGCGGGCTCCTGGAAGGAACCAAGAGTCAAGCTAATCGTGATCATCGATTAGCAGCAAAACCAGAGGCAGAGGCTAAAGTTATGTCACCCCCTAGAAGAGCTTCCCCCACCTGGGACCCCAGAACAGCAAGCTCAGGAGCAGGAACCCACAGCAAGAGGCTGACTCTTCCACGCCACGGTGGTCACAGATTCTAGAACACAAGTACCACTAGGGGCCTTCCTGCCAGTTAACAAGCTGGCTAGGGAAAAGTCAGATGGAGCACCAAACCACCAAGACTGTGGCTCAAGATAAGCTCTTCTCTGAGACCAACCAGCAGAGAGGTGTGACACGTATAACGTTACTAAGTTTCCCTTCTTTATCTTGGTTCAATTTTTTTTGCTTGTTTTTGATGAGGACCATTTAAAAAATCTATATTGAATTTGTTACAATATTGTTTCTGTTTGGGTTTTTTGGCCATGCAGCATGTGGGATCTTAGATCCCCAACCAGAGATCAAACCTGCACCCATCCCTCAACCCCACATCCCATCCCCACCCCTCCCCATCTTTACCCCGTTGGTACCTGAAGTCTTAACAACTGGGCCACCAGGGAAGGCCCTCCTTGGGGTTCATTTTTAAAAACTTAGTTAAACTCTATATTTCATCTGACAACTTCACCTCCTAATTACAAACCTCTTAAAACAGTGTTAGATGTGTTCACCCATAACTCTACAGCCTGCCCTTCTTCAATCTACTTCAGCTCTTGGGCATCGAGATCTCCTTATCTTTAAAATGAGCCCATTGAGAATAACCCTGAGTCATGAGAAGTCCCTGGAAATCCCTTGGATTGGACAGACGCATGGCAGGAGGACAGGGCGGGCAGCTGGCCTCACCAGTGACGCCGTGGGGACAGTTATTGCACACCACCTCCTCTGTCTCGGGCATCACAGAGCAGCTGAGCCCATTGCGACAGGGACAGGGCTTGCAGCTGCGGGGGTCGTGTGGGTCGTTGTAGAAACCGAGGGGGCAGTCCGCACACTCGATGTCGGGGTTCTCATCCCCTGAATAACAATCTCCTGGGAGGAAGAGGGAGAATGGAGGGGCAGAGAAATGAGCAGGTAAAACTATCCACTTCCTTTAATACAGAGGACGCCGCGTGGGAGACAGAGCTTAGTAGTTCAAAGCCTCCCTTTCTGCAGCTTTCCCCAGAGTGCCTGATCGCTGGCCCTCCTCCCAACTCTAAACACGGCCACGACCCTGAATCTCACCCTCCCTCTCCCAGGCTAAGCAGACCCACACTCCTTTTACCACTGTCCATAACCTAACATGGCTCCCCTCTTCCCCACGGCCTGACTACACCACTCTTCAGCACGTTCATTCAGGTCCTGACACTGGCTTTGATCTCCCCAAACAATTCTTGCAATTTGACACCAGCTCCGCCACCCAGCACCGAACCATGACAGCCATTTCCTGTAACCTAGCACCTTTCTCACAACCTTGTGGCATTTCCATCATGAAAAGGATTGAATGTAATAAAGCGCTGCATCCATCTTCCCTTGACTCCAGCCCTGCTCTCCTTAATCCTTTCCCATCTCTGAAATGAGTTCAGGCACCGCCTTTCCTGCACGGCTGTCTCTTCCACGGGAGACCCCGGTCACCTGGCTGCACCCCGAACCACCTGGTTCAGGTGTCATTTCACTCACCTGTGTCTGGATCACAGGCCCCTCCCCCTTGGCAGTTACAAGGAATACAGGTGCCAAAAGGTCCCAGTCTGGCTGAATCTCTTTTGTAGCCAGAAGCACATTCCTGGCAGAACTGTCCCTTGTACCCAACAGGACATACACATTGTTCAACCCAGGGTGCTGGGGCTCCCGAGACGGGGCGGGCTGAGATCAAGGTCACGTTGTCGAGGTACCCAGTACCTGCAAGAGAGACAACAGGTGGGAAGCAACAAGTGGTAAGGTCCAAGGATCTAAAGTCAGGCCTCATATTGGACTTTTTCTTAACTCTCTCAATGAAAAGAAATTCACATTTTAAGGCAAGACAAGGAAAATTTAGACATAAAATTTTCTCTCTGCCCTTTGGCCTCCTTCTTCCCCTCTAAGTAGATGTAACATTGTGCATCTGCCTTATGTGTTAAGCAGACCTCCCATGTGGCAGAAATACCTGCTCAACCACAAAGATCAATTTTTCTCCTTCTGGCACCAGCCATGTAACTCCTTAGACATAACATTACTTTGTCAGTCCTGGTAGGGGTCACAGTGACCTCCTGCTTACTTGCCTTGTATGTGCAGACATCTCTGGTGAACTTTATGTCAATGCCAGTATATCATTTCCCTTAAAGAGAGCAATTGGTGCAGAACAGACTAGTCAGACAACCTGGAGAGACTGGGCCACACCTAATGGAAGTTCTTAGTTTAAATACTTGTTTATGACCTTATTAATGCTACTAGTTATATTATATGCTGCCTATTTGACAAGATTAAAGTTCCCTGCACATGTATGCATGCATGCTCAGTCACTCAGTTGTGTCCGACTCTTTGCGACCTCATGGACTGTAACCCGCCGGGTTCCTCTGTCCATGAGATTCTCAAGGCAAGAATACTGGAGTGGGCTGCCATTTCCTCCTCCAGGGGATCTTCCCAACCCAGGGACTGAACCCACGTCTCTTACATCTCCTGCATTGACAGGCAGATTCTTTACCACTGAGGCACCTGGGAAACCCACCAAATGTGTGACTGAGCCTCAGATAAAATTAATGATAATTAGGTGACTAGAAACAATTTGCTCAAATATATAGTTTTACAAGATCAGTGATTGTAATAATGTATTGTAATAATTGTATATTGTAATTGTAATAACAACAGTGATTGTAATAATATGGGAAGAAGCAACAAAAGGGAACTATTCTGAGGACCGTAACAGACTAGTAAGACAGGTGGTCCAGAGACTTTTGGTTGCTGTTAACAGAAACTGGTCCAGTAAGAGCACTTTCTGTGGCCTATCAAAAAAGTCCTCACTTGACTTGGGAATGTGCATTTCAAGCACCGTGGGACAAAATGGTCACAAAATACGTCCCAAACCATGACTGAAATTAAGACAGAAGGGAAAGGGAGTGTAAAATAAAGAACACTGCCCACTATCCTGTTCTACAAGAATCAGGTCTTTAGCCGCTGCGGTCGATGACCTGCAACACATCCTGAAAGGAATTCAAGACAAAGGTCAGAATGAAGCACCCTGTGCTCTAAAAAACCTGACAAAACCGGCCCTCAGTCAGATATTTTCAGGAAAAACTTTTATGAATCCAGTTTATTGCATCTTCTCATACTTAGAAAAGCACTAAAACCATTAATTAAGATATCTGTCCCTTGGGAAGAGCAGTAACCTTCTACCAAGACGTGTGCTTGACAGCACGTACTCCCTTCCAAGATCACATGCATACTGGCTTCTCCTTTACCTCTTTGGAACAGTTCTCAGAACTTTCCAAGAGACAGCCTCCAGGCTCTACTTCTTATATTGGCTTGAATAAAATTTTTCATTTCTTTCTTAGATTGACTTTTTTTTAAACTTTTTTACCTTATATTGGAGTATAGATTGACTATTGATTAATTTTTTCATTGATAGCCCAGGTGACATTCACTCACTCTGGCATGCCTAATAGTATAGCACTTCATCATCGCTGAGTGCACTGGTTCTGGTGTCAGAAAAATCAGGGTTTGAATTCTGGCTTGATCCTCACTAGCTCTGTGAATTGGACAAGTTCCATAACACCTCTGTGTTTCCTCACCTATAGAAGAGAAATGACAGAGGTAGCTACCTCCCAGGTTGTCGTGAAATTAAATGAGACAATGCATGTACTGTAGAGTACTTGGCATATAGTAAAGATTCAATAAATTGTTAGTAAACACCTTTTCCACTTTCTGCTTTATTCACTGTAACAGTGATATGGAAATGGTGCATGTTAGCCATGCATCCTTTTTACATGAACGCTAAAAAACCTAAGCGGTCTCACTTAAATAAATCCAGTCATGATAAGGAGAACTCAACATAGAACATAGTATGTAGAAAGTTCAATAATAGGAATTTATAGAATACATGGTGATGTCCAAACATGGTAGCACCGAGTATAATCCCAAAGGAAAACTACTCAAGAAATAAAGAGAAGAATGTTGTAGATTCCATTTCTGAGCTAAGGGAATGTGCCCTTTTGATGTAGGTTACCTTCTTCAAATAATCGGCTTCAATCTAAATTCAGAGACTTTCTAGCAAGGCAGCATCATTTATTCTTCATTGATGTGACCTCTTTTCAAGAAATACTCCTTAACTCTTTGTTGACTGGGAGATTTTTGCAGAAACTAATGCTTGTGGTTGGCGATTTGTTATATTGAAATACTCTGGTCAATAATGTTTGGGTAGCAAAAGATGTACTAATACATCTCTGGTCAATAATGTGTTAACAACATCTTGTAGAATGTAAAAATATAGATCCAATCAGAGATTCTACATCAAAACCATTCATTGTTTGTCCACTTGTTTGGAGACTGTCACCAAGTTAGACAGCTGAAGCAAGTTAAACAAAAACCTAAGAAGGGAGGAATTCCTTTCTTTCAGTCACTTACTGTATTCTCCGTAGGTAGCTCGGATCCTCAGGGCTGTGAGGTTCCGCAGTAACCTCCGATACTCAAAGTAACTCAGCTGGGGTCTCCAGTTACTGCTTGGATGTTCATTTAATCTGCATGATTTAAAACCAAAAGGTGAAAAATCCAACTCTTTTTTTTTTTTCATTTATTTTTATTAGTTGGAGGCTAATTACTTTACATCATTGCAGTGGTTTTTGTCATACATTGAAGTGAATTAGCCATGGATTTACATGTATTCCCCATCCTGTTCCCCCCTCCTGAAAAATCCAACTCTTATCAAATCTTATAATGTGTATACCTTATACAAATTCCTGCCCGAGAATGCAGGAACAACTAAGTCCCTTCACAGCCCTGCTTAGAGGGAGATAAAGGACAGGTAGCCATATCCCTATAGGCACAAGCCTGGAGCTTTCCCACTCCACGGGGAATGCAAGCCCCACAGGATGTGATGGAGTGTAGGAAGCCGAACTCCAAGGGTTACGGCATCCAGTGTGGGTCCAAATCCTCAGAGGCCACTTTCTATTCCTGGTCACAGGAAACCTAATAGCAGAAACATCTCTGAGTTCCAGAAGCTCTGATTTTTAAGCGCTGTCATTCATGTTTGGTTTTGTTGTTTAAATGACTTGTTATCTGAGCATGTTTCACCTCCTATTCTCATAAATCAGTGTCCACCTTTTACACTCTTCCACATCTAATACTTCTTAGTTTTGCATCATGTTGCCTTGGTGTATCATATCACCAGCCGCTGTACTAGTTTTTCTTTAATGTTGTTTTTTGGTTTTTACTGGAATAGCTCTTTCGGGAACAACCCTAACCCTTCTGCCTCATCCACTGACTCATGAAATAAGTGTTTACTGTGCACTTGTTTTGAACTAGAAGCTGTATTAGGACAGAGAATACAAAGACAAGTAGAGTGAAGTGATCAGTGTCTACCCAAGGTGGTAGGTAAACGTGTAACTATGATACGATGCAGAAAGTGCTCCAACAAATGCGTGAACAGCACGCCACAGAAATTCACAATGGACTGTAACTTTACCTGGGATTCGGAGAAGGCTAATACAAAGGAAAAACCTGTAAGCTGAATCTCAAAGAGTAGTTCACCAAGCTAAGAATGTGGGAATGGATGTTCCATCATGGAGAGCGAAGTGTGTGATCAGAGTAAGCTGCAATTGGTTACTTAGGAACACAGTGTATCTTGTGGGTCTTCTATACATTATTGCCTTTAGTTCTACCCTGAGGTAGGCCCCCAACAACCTTCATCTGAACCACTGTGAATGTGATCCGATGGTTCAGTTAAAGACCCTACCCAAACTGTCCCCCACACAGGATTTGCACCAGCCTTCACATCTGATCATGTCACTCCTCTACGTCTAATCTCTCAATAGATTTCCATCATCTTGCAGGCATGGGCCAGATCTCAGCACCTAGACATGATATCCAAGAGCCACCATGCTGGGCCTTTTCCCAGCCTTTTTAGCTTTATCTGCTCATCTCCCCTACACTAGCTGTGTTCCAGCCATAACTACTGCTTACCAATGCCCTTTACTACGCCTGTACATTCCCACATATACTCACAAGTGCAGGTTGTCCTGATTTGTCCCTGGGAAAGTCTCGTGCTTATTTCTGTTCCCAGTCCACACAGTCATCTTAGTGAAGCTTCTCCTGACTTCTTCAGACAGAACTAAGACACCCTTTCCTTTCCTCCCAAGTCCCCATGAGCATGCACCACCACTGACGTGATTTTACACTGTATTATGTTTGCACAAATAATAACACATCCTACGAGACAAGAGCTCTTGGAAGACAAAGACCATGTTTCTTCATCTTGAATTCTCAGCCTCTGATACAGTACTAAGCATTTGATAGGCACATCCCCTCCCCTGAACTCTCTGTACCCACCATTCAAAATTCCCGTTCTAGAGAGAAATATTTGCAAATGATGTATTTGATAAGGGATTATTATCCAAAATACACAAATAAGTTACATAACTCAACATCAAAAAAACAAACAGCCCAATTAAAATACGGGCAGAGGACCTAAATAAACAGTTTTCCAAAGAAGGAATACAGATGGGCAGCAGGCACATGAAAAGATGCTCAACATCACTAATCATCAAAGAAATGCAAACCAAAACCACGATGAGATATCATCTCACACCTGTCAGAATGGCTATTATCAAAAAGACAACAAATAACAAGTGTTGGCAAGGATGTGGAGAAAAGGGAATGTTTGTGCACTGTTGGCGGAAACATAAACTGGTGCAGGCGCTATGGAAACCAGTGTGGAGTTCCTCAAAAATATTAAAAATAGAACTACTATATGATCCAGCAAGCCCACTTCTGGATATTCTTCTGAAAGAAACAAGAACACCAATTCAAAGAGAAATACACCTATATGTTCACTACAACATTATTTACAATAGCCAAGATATGGAAAATGTCCATCAACAGTGGATAAAGAAGATGTGGAGTGTATGTGTGTGTGTGTGTGTGTGTGTGTGTGTGTGTGATGGAGTATTACTCAGCCATAAAAAGAATGAATTCTTGCCATTTACAACAACATGGATGGACCTAGACGGTGTTACTAAGTGAAAGAATTCAGACAGAGAAAGGCAAATATCATATGATTTCATTTGTATGTAAAATCTAAAAAACAAACAAACATAATGAAACAAAAACAGAGTCATAAGAAGGGAGGATGTGGGGGATGAGTGAACTAGGTGAGAGAGATTAAAAGGTAAAAACTTCCAGTTATAAAATAAATGAACCACAAGGATGAAATGTACAGCCTGGGAAATACAGTCAAGAATGTACTAACACTGTTCAGTGGCAAGTGGTAACTAGAGTTGTCTTGATCATTTTGTAATGTATAGAAACAGTGAATCACTATGTTATGGACCTGGAACTAAAATAGTGTTGTAGGTCAATCATACCTCAAAAAAATCTCCCATTTCACAGGATAACATGTAACTTCTTTAGACACACACAGGACCATCCATGACCTGCCTCTTCTCTGACCTCACTTCTCACTGTATTCCTCTCCCCCACTCCATGTTCCACTCATGCCTAATCACTTAGAATTTCCTAAGTGTACAAAACTTCCTCAAACACACTTCTTCTGCCATGATAACCTTCACTCCTTTTCTTTCCTTAGAAAGCTACTCTTCATTGTCACATCTTCTCAGTAAGCTTTCCCAGATCACTCCAATGCTAGTTACTGATGCCTCCTGCATGTATTCAAAACACTTGTGTCCACTTTGTCACTTACAAGCTGCACTGTAATCATCAGTTTATTTTTCTCCCCCACTAGCCTGTCAGGAGCATGTGGACAGCAATCATAACCTGTCTCAGCACATAACACCATATTCGGTCCATAAAAGGTGCTTAGAAAAGCTTGTTGAATGAATGAATGATGACTGAATGAATAAACAAAGGAATCAGACTTCAATCACCGTTTGCTCTATTTGACTCACTTGTAGTCTCTCTCTTTACCTGAACGTGTAAGTTTTGGTGATCCCACAAGGCAGTGTCTTGTCACGTGGCATCAAGGGAGCTGTGATCCGTAGACCGGCACCTTCCAGAATCACATCATGGGCAGAGGGGTGTCTGCCTCCCCTGTCCACACGGTAGTCAAAAGACAGGCTCTGTCCATAGCTCACCTGTTGATTCCCAAGAAATTTGGCTGCGAAACAGATCAGAAAGATTGGGATCAGCTGTGAGACCAGAGAAGAAAAGGAGTGAGCAGGTCTGCATGGACATCAGCAATTTCTCTTGGAGTTCTGTATTATTCACCCATCACTCCCCACAAGCTACTTTTTCAGAAGAGCCAGTTCATGGCACTGGACACGGCCATACTGCTATTGGCTATGTGAAGGGTTAGTTAATGAAATGCTAAAAGGGCCTCATTATAAGACACTTCCATCTATCACATGATTCATAGCATGGCCCTTATCAGTTCGGTTCAGTCACTCAGTCGTGTCCGACGCTTTGCAACCACATGGACTGCAGCACGCCAGGCTTCCCTGTCCACCACCAACTCCCGGAGCTTGCTCAAACTCATGTCCATTGAGTCGGTGATGCCATCCAACCATCTCATCCTCTGTCATCCCCTTCTCCTCCCACCTTCAATCTTTCTCAGCATCAGGGTCTTTTCCAATGAGTCAGTTCTTCGCATCAGGTGGCCAAAGTATTGGAGTTTCAGCTTCAGCATCTGTCCTTCCAATGAATATTCAGGACTGATTTCCTTTAGGATGGACTGGTTGGATCTTCTTGCAGTCCAAGGGACTCTCAAGAGTCTTCTCCAACACCACAGTTCAAAAGCATCAATTCTTCAGCATTCAAATTTCCTTTTTTATTTTTAATTTATTTTTATTAGTTGGAGGCGAATTACTTTACAATATTGTAGTGGTTTTTGCCATACATTGACATGAATCAGCCATGGATTTACATGTATTCCCCATCCCGATCCCTCCTCCCGCCTCCCTCCCCATCACATCCCTCCCCATCACATCCTCCTGGGTCTCCCCAGTGCACCAGCCCAGCATTCAAATTTCTTTAGAGTCCAATTCTCACATCCATACATGAGTACTGGAAAAACCGTAGCTTTGACTAGATGGACCTTTGTTGGCCCTTATGATAGACCAATATGTAGAGATTCCCAGGTCTATCAGCAGTAGTGCCATATGTTACATAATGCTTTCTAGTGTACAGAATACTTGCACAAATATCATCACATTTGATGGCAATAATTCTTGGAGTTAGTCATTATTCTTCCCACTTAAGAATGGAGGGAATTAAAGTTTGGAAAAATTAAGAGGCCACCTTGCCCAGGAATCACATATTAGCTAAGAATATGAACTAGGATTAAAATTCCAGCCAGAAGAACTTCCCGGGTGGTCCAGTGGTTAAGACTTTGCCTTCCACTGCACGGGGTGTGGGTTTAATCCCTTGTCAGGGAACTAAGATCCCACATAACCTCATGGTCAAAAAGCCAAAACATAACACAGAAGGAGTACTGTAATAAATTCAATAAAGACTTTAAAATGGGCCACATGAATAAAAAAGAAATATATAAAAAAAATTTTAACCAGAGCTTTTCTATTCAACTTTTCTGATTTTTATATTTTTAAAATTTACAAGTGGTTTAAAGCTTTGAGAAATGCTTTGATTTCACTTTCCCATCTGCTTCCTGATAGACCCACAGATTTGAACCCAGTCCTTATTTCTTGTCTTGGTGGGAAACTTAGAAATTTGCTTTTTAACTGAAGCAGGAACCTGCACTGGGATGTGACCACCTGGACACCCAGTTCTACTCTGTTGGGCTGTGACTTTGTCAGTAGGACTAAAGCCCCAATTGTCTTCTTTAGATGCTACTGCCCTGGACACTTAGTGATAAGATTTTCACATTTGCTAAACCCATTCTTCTATCCTGACTTCCTAGTCTTCTAAGTTGACTTCTACACGAAAAATACCATACGTACCAGGAGCTACAAAATAGACAGGGTCTGATCGTCGTGCTGAACTAAACACATCTTGATGGCGCTGTGACCACTGGAGCTTTGCAGGAAACCCATTTCTCTGGACAGCTTTCCAGCCATCAGCATCTGGAACATAAGTAAAACCACTCTTCATTGGAACAAACCTTATCATCAATTGAGTTAAACACGGCAAGACTTGATTGTTACTCACTAGCAATGAGTGAGTAACAAGTGGGCTTCCTTTATGTTTCCACATTTGTGCACCATCCTCAGAATTCCCTATGCACCTCTCTACTTGGTTTTCACCTTCACCTACTCCTATTTACACCTGCTTTAACTTCTTGTCTTTGAGTCTGACTCTTGGAATAAGAGAACATGTTTTCATCTGCCTGTAATTTGCATTTTTATTTCATTTACATAAACACGGTCTGGTCTTAGTGAGGTAAGAGGGTCCAGTATGTTCAGAGAGAAACTCAGAGTTGAGATCATATTAATCTCCCATATTTTTAGAGTGCTTTGCAGCTTGGTAACTAATTTCACATAAATTCACTCATTTGGCATATGTGAAAGCAGTATTATTAGTGAATGTGAATTCCAGGAAGGCTTGTGTTAAGCCCCTCAATCCAAAAGAATGATTCTTTTGTGGTTTTAAAGTACACTAATAGGAAATGCAGGGAGTTGAAAATCTGTTCTCTTTTTAGTTATTTTTATAAGTCATTCATAAGATGGTCTGAGCAAACTGTTCAGCTATAACTTTTCCAAGACACCAGGCTCTTTCTTATTGCCTGACAAAATAACGTACATTTAAAGCTAGAAGACAGTCATCCCATTAAAGATGACTCAAGGACCCCATCCTGCGGACAGAAGTCTACAAGCACAAAGCCCTATACAACAGGAAATAAAAGCAAAACACCTAGAAAACAGAATGCTTTACCTTGATGGAAGGTGGATATGATTTTATGGACACTGTAGTCTCCAGAGCTTTGGCAGCTGGCTGAATGCCCGTAGCAAAAACACTGGGTGCAGCCCTCAGGGTTTCTCCCATCCAGGTGATAGTAACCTGCTCGGCACCTGCAGAGGCGTTTTAGAAATCGCGACAATATTATAGGTTATTTCTCATCCCCACAGAGAATGCGGTGACTGATCACTTCTACTTTCTTTCCCACCCAGCCCATTAATTCCCAGAGGTGAGAAACACTCAGTTGCATATACCACTCCCACTCCTCCTGATGACAATCACAGCCCTCCATTAAAAAAGCATGAAGAATATTCACTCTCTTTTGCTCTAGCAGCGCAGCAACACATTGGGCATGATGGTCTGGAAACGGTGATTTTTCCTATCTTTGGCAAGGAATTCAGTGCGCAAGATGGGGAGGGGACAGGTAGGTCTGTGCAGAGTTGGCCCAGTCCTAGAGCAAGTGTTTAAAGGGGGCAATAGAGTGGGAAGTGGGGGCCAGCAAAAGACAGGCAAATGCTCCTGACCCAGTACCCATTCAGCTGTACTGACCCTCCCCTCAACAGGACCACTGTCCCTGGCATTGCCCACCATACCTGCCCCTTGGACCTGGGCTCTGACCCACAGGGGAGGGAGCAGGTGAGGTTATGCCAAAGAAAAATGACTACAGGCCCTCTGGAAAAGCAAATTGTAGGTTGGTGTCCCCTCTGCTCCGAGCTCAAGCCCTCCAGGGACTCCTCTGAGGACCACAGCCGGCAGACAATTTCCAGAACAGATGCTGGGGTCATAGAGAAGAGGGCAGGGGAAGCCAAGAAGGATTTGTTTTCTTCTCCAGTCAAGTTAACGACATTCTTCTACATAAAATAACGGTAGTGTCAATCATTTATTTAGCACTTGCGATATTCCAGGCACCTTACATATGCTCCCTCGTTTAATCCTCACTTCAACCCTATGACATAGGAATTGTTATTTCCAATTTTCTTAGACAAAGAGACGAAGGTCAGAGAAGTCAAGAAACTTGTTCAAGGTCATATAGCTTATAAGTGGCTGAGGCAAGAGTCAAATTAAGGTACATCCGCTGATAAATTATGTGGTCTTATCCACTGGACCATACTTTAGGAGTTTGTTCAATGTACAAAGGGGCTTCCCTGGTGGCTCAGCTGTTAAAGAATCTGCCTGCAACGCAGGAGACCTGGGTTCGATCCCTGGATTGGGAAGATCCCCTGGAGAAGGGAAAGGCTACCCAAACTAGTATTCTGGCCTGGAGAATTCCCTGCACATAGTCCATGGATCTCAAAGAGCTGGACACGACTGAGCGACTTTCACTTTCACTTCACTTTCATTGAGCAAAATCAGAAAGGCAGACTAGCTGAGAATTGTAGATGCTACAGAGAACAGCAGTAAATAAATACCTTTTTTTCCCCTCTATAGATGAAGGGTTTAAAAACTCATTATAGTTTCTGTGGAGGAAACCTGCAGATTAAAACAGATTAAAAAACAAGGAAAGAAGGAAGGGGGAGGGAGAAGGGAAGGAAGAAGAGGTAAGTCAGAGAAAGGGTGGAGAAGGAATGATAAAGGAAGGCAGGAAGGGAATCAGCAAAACTAAACACACAGTGTTTAAGGATGTACTTGGGAGATAAATTATGAAGAATAGTGGTCACTTCTAGGAAGGAGGGAGGATATTATGGGGCTGGCACATTTTTAACAAAGGCCAATTTCATTAAAAAAAAGCAAGCAAAAAAAAAAGGCAAGAGAGTTCCAGAAAAACATCCACTTTTGCTTTATTGACTATGCCAAAGCCTTTGACTGTGTGGCCCACAGCAAACTCTGGAAAATTCTTAAAGAGATGGGAATACCAGACCACCTGATCTGCCTCTTGAGAAACCTGTATTCAGGTCAGGAAGCAACAGTTAGAACTGGACATAGAACAACAGACTGGTTTCAAATTGGGAAAGGAGTACGTTAAGGTTATATATTGTCACCCTGCTTATTTAACTTCTATGCAGAATACATCATGAGAAACGCTGGGCTGGAGAAAGCACAAGCTGGAATCAAGATTTCCAGGAGAAATATCAATAACCTCAGATATGCAGATGACACTACCCTTATGGCAGAAAGTGAAGAAGAACTAAAGAGCCTCTTGATGAAAGTGAAAGAGGAGAGTAAAAAAGTTGACTTAAAACTCAACATTCAGAAAACTAAGATCATGGCATCTGGTCCCATCACTTCATGGCAAATAGATGGGGAAACAGTGGAAACAATGGCAGATTTTATTTTGGGGGGCTCCAAAATCACTGCAGATGGTGACTGCAGCCATGAAATTAAAAGACTCCTTGGAAGAAAAGTTATGACCATCCTAGACAGCATATTAAAAAGCAGAGACATTACTTTGCCAGCAAAGGTCCATCTAGTCAAAGCTATGGTTTTTCCAGTAATCATGTATGGATGTGAGAGTTGGACTCTAAAGAAAGCTGAGTGCCGAAGAATTAATGCTCTGGAACTGTGGTGTTGGAGAAGACTGTTGAGAGTCCCTTGGACCACAAGGAGATCCACCCAGTCCATCCTAAAGGAAATCAGCCCTGAATATTCATTGGAAGGACAAATGCTGAAGCTGAAACTCCAATACTTTGGCCACCTGATGCAGAGTTGACTCATTTGAAAAGACCCTGATGCTGGGAAAGATTGAAGGTGGGAAGAGAAGGGGACAACAGAGGATGAGATGGTTGGATGGCATCACCAACTCAATGGACGTGAGTTTGAGTAAACTCCGGGAGTTGGTGATGGACAGGGAGGCCTGGCATGCTGCATTCCATGGGGTCGCAAAGAGTCAGACACGACCGAGTGACTGAACTGAAATGAATTTCATATAATCAGTGTGACTGACAACATTTGTTTTATGAGACTTTCTATTTCTCTGCTCTATTTTGAAATTTAAAAGGTTTTCTGAAAGTGACTCCTCTTGTAACACTTAAGCTATGTTTCCCCACCCCCACACCAGCAGCAAAGAACCGGCTGAAAACACAAGCCAAGAATGTACCTGGCATTGCCTCTGCCCAGGTATAAGCGATTGGCCACATGCCAAAGAACTGCTTTCTTTCTTTGAAGGAAATATGGGGGAAGGTTTTACCTGTGGGGCCCATTTCACAGCCCACTGCTTACAACAGTCTCAGGGGAGTGAAGAGTTTTAAGTCCAGGCTCAGTTTGTATCTAAGGAATTTCCTGCAGCAGCAACTGGGGGTGGATTGGCCTCACTGTATCACCTGCCCCAACGTGGCTCTGACATCCTCCCCTGGTTCGTGTGTGTGCACATAACCACCATCCCATCCCTGGGCAGGTCCTCGTCTGCACACAATGGTTATTTATGGCCATACGCTGCGGTATTTCCACTGACTAAGATTTTCCCAACACGTTTACCTAGGCCAGGCCTTCCCTGGGACTGAGTTGAGTCATGAGGCCTCATCCCTGCAGACCCTGTACAGAGCACCTGAGACTGAGAGCCAGCTGGCCAGGGACTCCCCAGGGCCTTGTCACAGCATACACAGAGAGGGACCCAGAGCAAAAGCTTGGAGCCCACTGAGATTTGGGGCCTTGCTTGCATTTTTAAAAAAATATTTACTTATTTACTTGACTGCACCATGTCTTAGCTGTGGCATGTGGGATCTTCATCTTCATTGTTTCAATGTAAACTCTTAGCTGTGTGACACGTGGGATCTAGTTTCCTGACCACAGATGGAACCCAGACCCTTTGAATTGGGAGCATGGGGTCTTAACCACTGGACTACTAGGGAAGTCCCTTACTTGTATTTTTTTAAAGCCTAGTTTTTGCAGGACTTCCTAGTGGTTAAGACTCTGTACTTCCAACAAAGGAGGTTTGAGTTCCATCCCTAGAGAAGAAACTAAAATCACACATGCCATGCAGTGTGGCCAAAAGATAAATTAAAAAATATAATAATAATAAGGTCTAGTTTTTGAGGCCAGGGAGCAGGAAGAAGGTCATCAACATTGGTTAAGTGTCCCTTTTCCATGACCCACACTCATGCTGGTTGTCAGGGGACCTCCTGCCGTGTCCACAGGGTCACAGTTCACACACACCTATCACAGCGCTCTCCCGTGACAGCTGGCTTGCAGACACAGCGGCCCGAGTCACAGGGCCCCGAGATGCCGGCTGGATCACAGTCACACTTGGAGTCTCTGGAAAGAAAAAAAGAAAAGAAAATCAGAGCTGTGTTTCCAAATGCTCTGAACTACACACATGAAGATCAGGCGCTTATAAGCAAATGTCACCAACTTGAGTCAATCTTTCATCTTCAATGAGGCCTCTCTTAGCTATTCTTGTCCATGCTAATCTCTCTCAGACCCTTTAAGAATTCATCTGTCCACGCTACTAGTGCTACTCAAAGTGTGGTCCGTGGCTGGCAGCCAGTCCAAGAACTGTTTACTACCCACTTCTAGAGAGAGCAGGGGTTTGCCTCAGAATGTAAACCAAACTCATCATGAAACTGTTTAGTTTGGTTGACTGTTTGCGTCAGTTGACCTAAAAAAAATTTTATCATTTGTTTTTCTATTATTTAATCCAGCGGTGTCTGCTTTCATCACGGTTGACTCCACCTATTTGCTTTTTGTTCATTTAGTTTTTTCTTCTGGTAACACTTCTATTTCACATATAATTCATACCATGCAATTCATTAAAGTATTCAACTCATTGGGTTTTAATTGATCCTCAGAGCTATGCAAAGAGCACCACAACCAACTTCGGAACATTTTTATCACTCTAAATAGAAAGCCTGTGTCCTTTAGGAATCACTCTCATCGCCTTCCCCGAAGTCCTAGGCAACCACTAACCAACTTTTCGGCTCTGGAGATTTGCCTGTTCTGAATGCTTCCTATAAACGGAATTGTACAATGTTTGGCCTTTTGTGTTTTGCTTCTTTCACTTAGTAAGTCTTCAAGATCCATCCATGCTGTATCATGTATCAGTAGTTCATTCTTTGCATGGCTGAATAAAATCCCATCATGTGAACATACTACATTTTGTTCGTACACTCATCAGAATGCACATTTGGGTTTCCACTTTTTAACTATTATGAATAATGCTAATTATTGATAGTGAAAAATTTGTGTACATTCATGTGAACATTTGCATACAAGTTTTTGGGCAGATATGTTTTCATATGTCTCAAATGTATATCTAGGAATGAAATTGCTATTAGTTTTGCTGATTCTTTTTTTTCTGGTTGCAAGACTTTCCTCAATGAAAAAAATCAATGTTATCATTATTTAATTTTGGCACAATCTCCTTGTCTTGTGCAACGAGCACTTTGACTGATGACTGTTCTCTGACTAACCAAAGCTCTCGTCTCTGTCACCGAGCTTGCCCCATAAGCATATGTATTTATCTCATGCATCTAACACCAAGTTTGTTCTCTTCCCTACTGACCTGCTCCTCCTGACTGTCCCATGACCCCATCAGATCCTGCCCAAACCTGCCTCTGACTCCTCCTCCCTCACATTCCTCATCTAATCAGTTCCAAGTCCTATTGGGCTTCCTGAAGATTTCTTTCCCAATCTCCATCTCTCAGTTGCCATGGTCTCCTCCCTATCCTGGCCCCTCTACACTATTATCTGGACCCTCTGAGAAACACATATTCAGCATCTACTAGTTGCTAAGCACTGGGGATAGTGAGAAGTAGGAAACAGTCCTGCTCTCTAGGAGTCTCAAGGCAGGGCAGACACATGAACAGCAATGGCAAGAAAGCACATCTGCAGCTGTAGCCGAGCTGGAACACGCTCACGGGCCTCTTCCCTGCAGCAGGGAACACGACAGAACCAAAACCAGGCTTCCATTCCAGTGGGAGAGACAGACAGATACATACAGAAAGTAAGAGACCGTAAAACAAGAGTCAGCTCGGAGCAGTGGGGACTGGTCCAGACGGCCTCTGAGAGGAGATGGACAAGGTGGGGATGGAACCCCTGAAGCTCTGCGTGGCTCTGTGGGAGGGAAGAGGACTCCAGGCCAAGGCCAAGGCCACATATACTCGACTCCTTTGAAGAAGTAAAGGAAGCCTGGGAGGGGGTGAGAAACGGAGCAGAAGCCTCAGGTGGCGAATAGAGAGGGCAGGAGGGGCTTGGAGGGCCCCAGCTGCCTAGATGGGAAGTTTGGATCTCACTCTAGGTGGGAACGGAGTTAATGGAGGTTTGGAGCAGAGCCATGATGTCATCTACTTCATAGTTTACAAGCACTACCAAGGGAGACGGGGCCTGGGAGGAGTCAGGGAAGTCTGGGAGGGGAAAAGACCCTGGGATGGTGGTAACACAGATGGTGCAGTCAAGGCGGGCGGTGGGTCTCACATGGACAAGGGGGTGGAATCATGGGTGATGAGGAAGTGGTTTCTCTGTGGGCAGCCTTCTGGCCCATGGCTTCGCTGCCAAGCTCCTCTTCACCAAAGTCAGCCCAGCACCTTGCTGGCTCTGTACCTCTGAGGGCTGGCTATGTGACTCATAAGGTACGCTTCACCTTTTTCCAGAAAAGTAAGTTGAGCAGGACTAGAGAAATGCTTCAAGCGAAAGGAGATTCAAATTATGCAGGAAGTTCTTCTTCTCTAAAACTGTTTATTTGAAACAAGTTTCAGGTTAAACCTTAAAGGACTCTTAACTTCCGCCCTCGTTCACCTCTAGGAGGGGTAGTTGTCAGGGTGATGAGCATAGCCTCCACAGACAACACTCTGAGCCTGAGTATGAAGTCCATCCTCACCAGCAACACTGGCCACCTTATTTATCCTCTCAGAATTTAAGTTTCTTATCTTGAACTCAAGTATAAAGCTAATCCAAAGTTTTTAGGGTTATTATGAGGGTTAAATGAGATGACCCACACAAAGTCCCCAAAAGACTTCCCTGGTGGGTCCAGTGGCTAAGACTATAAGCTCCCAATGCAGGAGGCCTGGGTTTGATCCCTGGTCAGGGAAGTAAGATCTTATATGCCACAACTAAGACCCAGTGCAGCCACAAAATAAATAAACATTTTTTTAAAAATTGTGTTTCCATACTCAGTTACTTAGTAACAGTTACTCAGTAAATGTAAGTGGTCCCTAATGTTGGTATGATCACCATTAGTCACAGTGGAACCAGCGGTGGTGGTGCAGGCACTTACTGGAGCTTCCGGTCTTGGGTGCACCCAGCATCAGTGAGCATGTGGAAGCCTGGTAAACAGCGGTCACACCTGTCCCCCGTCACACCTGGCTTACAGTTGCACCGTCCAGCGCTGTCACATCGAGGGCTAAGAGAACCTATAACCACAAAGGAGGGGGAAGGAAAGAAGAAAAGGAACTATTTCATTCATATGATATTAGAGGGCAACCGTCACCATATGGGAGCTCAATAAATACTAAGTAATGATCTCCTAAGGAGATCAGTCCTGAGTGTTCATTGGAAGGACTGATGTTGAAGCTGAAACTCCAATACTCTGGCCACCTGATGTGAAGAGCTGACCTATTTGGAAAGACTCTGATGCTGGGAAACATTGAAGGCAGGAGGAGAAGGGGATGACAGAGAATGAGATGGTTGGATGGCATCACCGACTTGATGGACATGAGTTTGGGTAAATTCCAGGAGTTGGTGATGGACAGGGAGGCCTGGCGTGCTGCAGTCCATGGGGTCGCAAACAGTCGGACACAACTGAGCAATTGAACTGAACTGAACTGAATCACCACGACCTGCTGCCTTGGGCAATTCTTTCACGTCATCGGGATATGCATCTATACCCACTAGGGAAAATTCTGACAGCCAAGGATGGCTTCTTCAGGGAAAGAAATGGAAATGACTCCTGAAAGCATTATTATTTTTATATCTGCTCTGGTTTCAACATTAAGTCATTTGTCAAATCCTTGAGATCTTAAGTAACATTTGTGAATGAGCACATGAGCCTGCACAAAGACAGGATGCAAAAGTGAGCCGCCTTCGCCCTTATCTCTGGCAGGCAAACAGCATCTTTCAAGGGTCAGTGCTCATACGGTATGATTGTAAGAGTACAAAAAAAGCCTCTTAACCAAAAATATCTCTACCTACCTGGAGTGGTGGAAATTCTCATCCTTGGAGCATCACTGCTTGTAAAGAGTGAAGACCCTGAGCATCTTACCTGGTTTGGGGCACTAGAGTACTTTCCTATAATTAATTGTTTATAGACATGCTCTATAAAATGACCTCGCAGACTGCTACTGAAAGGTGAGAGGTGCTCAGGATAACAAAGAGTGCCACCCTGGAATCCAGCCACACTTACCGCCTCCCCTTCAACCATCCCCAGTTCAAGCTTCCTCCTTCTCTCACCTGGACCCTCCCTACCTCCATCCTTGACTCCCTACACTCCATTCTCTCTATAGAAGCAGAAGTACTCCTTTTCAATGGAGTTTGAATCATATGACTGGTCTGTTTAGGTCTTCTGATGGGTCTAGGTCTTCTGATGGGTCCCTGCTATGAGTGGAATAAAGTGCAAACTCTGTACCGTGACCTATAAGCCTCGACCTCTCTTGTCTCATCTCTTGCTCTTTCACTGAGGTCCAGCATCCTAGCTCCCCTCCCTGTTCCTGGAATATGCTGATCGCTTCCCTCCTCAAGGCATTTGCACCTGCTGCTTCTTCAGCCTGGAATGTTCTATCTTGAGAACGCACCCTAGTTGGCCCATTCTCAGCACTTAAATCTTGATTAACTTCTCTAGAGAAACCTTCTCTGTCTCTCATGTCTATAATATTCAGCCCACTGCTCCCTCAGTCCTTAGCCCTGCTTACCGATAACTCCCTCAGCTTGTGTTCCCTGCTGAATTCCCAGTGCCCGAAGCAGAGTCCTAGATGTCTGTTGGATTAATTAACCCTCGGGAAGGAGGATATGGCTATTGTGAAAGGAGTAGGAAGCCAAAAGTTGAGGTAGAATGTGGTTCACCTACTTGATAATTTCCCTCAGGCTGGCAGTACTATAAATAATCCCTGTATCTGAACTGTGATAACCAGGCTATTCATAATCTATAAAGCTAACAGAACACTAACCAGTTGCTCCTTCTTTCTCCTAATCTCTTACTTGCCTGTGAACTTTTAATTCACTTATAGATACAAGTCAGATCAATAAAGGTGTTTGGCTCTGTGTCTATAGTCGCAGGTGGAACATGAAATAAACTAGTTACATACACAGTTAGAGTCTGTGAGAGCCTCCATGTCAACCTTGCAAGGCTTGAAAGGAACCTCAGTGATAAGAACATACACAAACTTTTTTGAGCACCTGCTATGTGTGAGACACTGAATTGAGCATTTTATATATATTAGTTCACCATATTTATTGGTGAATTAAGAGCTGATAAGATATCAAACCCATTTGTGGATAATTGGGAGCACCCAGAGGATCAGACAGCTCACACCAGGAGCAGATAGAGAGAGGAGGGGAAGGCACCTCGGGCAGAAATAGAATATCACTGATTAAGCAAAGGGAAAGGGTGATTGGAGTGGGGAGAAGTCTCAGAATAGTGGAAGCCAAGGGAGGAGAATTCCAAGGAGGGTTAAGGGAGGAAGAACATGGAATAGTTTTCAGTATCTAAGACAAGAGAGCACTTAAGATGAGAGGAAGGGAGGCCACTGGGGTTGGCGTTTAGAGACGCACAGCAGACGGAGCTAAGAAGGTAAATTCCTGTTTAAATTTATACAATTTCATTATTTTAACATAAATGAGTAAATCTTGGACCCAGAAACACATTTTTTTCTCCATTCAAATTAATAAAAATTATGTTTTTAATTTAAGAAAACCCTCCCTACAACAGCTTTTCAGAAGCAACTCTTTTACTAGTCCATGGTCTATAGCCCACCAGGATCTTTTGTCCATAGGATTTCCCAGGTAAGAATACTGGAGAAGATTGCCATTTCCTTCTCCGGGGGACCTTCCCAACCCAGGGATCAAACTCGAGTCTCCTGCACTGGCAGGTGAATTCTTTACCACTGAGCTACCTGGGAAGCCCAAACTAAAATATATGAAGTGCCTATAAAGCAGAGACATTACTTTGCCAACAAAGGTCCATCTGGTCAAGGCTATGGTTTTTCCAGTAGTCATGTATGGATGTGATAGTTGGACTATAAAGAAAGATGAGCACCGAAGAATTGATGCTTTTGAACTGTGGTGCTGGAAAAGACTCTTGAGAGTCCCTTGGACTGCAAGGAGATCCAATCAATCCATCCTAAAGGAGATCAGTCCTGGGTGTTCATTGGAAGGACTGATGTTGAAGCTGAAACTCCAATACTTTGGCCACCTGATGCAAAGAACTGACTCGTTGGAAAAAACCCTGATGTTGGGAAAGATTGAAGGCAGGAGGAGAAGGGGACGACAGATGATGAGATGGTTGGATGGCATCACCGACTCAATGGACATGAGTTTGAGTAAACTCCAGGAGTTGGTGATGGACAGGAGGCCTGGCGAGTTGCAGTCTACGGGGTCGCAAAGAGTTGGACATGACTGAGTGACTGAACTGAACTGAACTAAACTCAACATCTCACATATAGTAAGTGCTCACAAAAGTGGTTTATGCTTGTATCTTCTAGCCCTCCTTCAAGCCTTGCAAAGTTGACATGGAAACACACACAGGCTCTTACTATAAACAGGACTGATTTATTTCATGTTCCCAAACTTCCAAAATAATAGCACTGGGTTTTCAAAGTATCTCGTTAAAATAAAAACACCTGTACCAATTCCTATATCATGAGCTACTCTTAGGGACTGTGAACAACTGGGTTTAAAGGATAGATGAAGAACAGCTTCTTGTTTCAAGTGTGTGTCCCCAAAAAGCACTCCAGGATTTAGGTAGTACTGTCTATATGTGTTAGAGGACTCAGGAACATAATCTAAAATGACCAATATTTAAACTAAGAGGGCTTGCTTCCTTTTAAGAATCCTTTAAAAATATAGATGCTTGCATTTTTAAATAGAATTATTACTATTCAATCACTATATTTAATAATAATTAAATTATTATCTAAGACATGTTTCAAAATAATAACTCAAATGTTATAGTCTGAGTTATCTACTGCCTGGCTCATACATATGTAAAAAAAAATAAAATTAAGAGAACAAACCCAATATCATTAAAGTCTGTACAGATCTCAAGAATTTAGGTATCAGGGGAGGAAAACACACACACAGAGTAAATTTCAAAGCATCACAGAAGGTTATCAGGGTTACAAGAACTGAGGATAATTCAGCCCTGATGCTGAGCCTCTAAAATCATCACCTAAAAATAAGTCTAGTTGGCATATTTAGAAGAAACTGGTGTAACATCCAAAATCTGTGACCACTTTGGGGCTTATAAATGCTGTTGGCTTCATTTGTCATGCATACAATGGCAGCTTTTGGTAAGATGAATTCTTCCGCATTTGAAATTGAATATACACAAATTCCCTTGGGAAGTTATATTTTGAAAGTGAAAAATACCCTCTGGCTGATGGGGAAACTGAGAGATCACATGGAGAATTAAATTCTAGCTACTGATTTTGTGACCTGTGCAGCCAACAGGTAGCCGGAGATGGCACATCGTGGGAACAGCCCCTACCACCAATGTGCCGCTCAGCCCTCAACAAGTTTCATCACCTCCATCTCTAAGCCTCTGATACCTCATTTGTAAAATGAAAATAATAGCACCGTCTTCATAGGGTTATTTGTGAAGATTAAATTAATTAGTGGATGAAAGTGTTTAAAAAAGTGCCTGGCACAGAGTAAGCGTGTAATTCATGTTAACTATGAATATCATACAAGACATAAATCATCTCTGGGCTCCACCACTTCCTACTAGGTTGTTCACCCTGAGTCCGAGATATCTATTTCCTCAAAGAAAAGAAAGAACTGGGCTCACTGTTGCTGGGTGGCAACAAACTACAGGGTGGAAAAGAAGCGATGGCGTGGTAAAGCCTCTTCACCACCTCTCTTTACGACACAGGTTCCTTGTCTACTCCCAGACTAACAGCCTTGTCTTCAGGCCAGGCTTTCCAGCTGAGCCAATTACATTTCTCATCACATTCATGCTGATTATTTTGCTGGGATGACCCAACTCCAGTGACTCACAACAAAGCTGCATCACCTAAGGGGATACGGGCTTGTCAGAGAGGTTAAATGCCCTTTAAAGTGAAATCATTTTTCTTTTAATTTGTCTTTGGTTCAGAGGGAGAATTGCTAAACCCCAAAGATTCTGGATGCTGAGTCAAAGCCACAAAACTGAGCAAATCTGACTCAAACCACATGGCAGCAGCAAGTCTGGTGAGTCTGAGAATGACTGCTGGTGTATGGGTCTGTATCACTGTGGGGTCACCCCAGTTTTCAAAGGCTCCCCAACACACACTACTTGCAAGTCATGGTTAGGCCAAAGCCTGCCCATTTTTAGATTCTTTCAACTGCTGTTAAGAACTGGCTCCACAGAGCTATACTGAGTCATAAGGCTATAACTTTTTGGTAAATTAACATTGATCACATTATACTATTAAACACTTTTTGGCAAAGAGAAATAGATAAGCCAAGGAAGACAATAGACAAATAAGGTAGCTTTAAAAAGTCCTAACTTTAGGGACTTCCCTAGTGGTCAGTGGTTAGGACTCCCCACTTCCAATGCAGGGGGCACTGGTTCAATCCCTGGTTGGGGAAATAAGATTCCATGTACCACATGGTGTGACCAAAAAAAATTGTTTTTAATTTTTTAAGTCCTAAATATTTCTTTCTCTCTTCCTCTTTATATTTACTAACTTGTCTTTACTGTCTGCCCATGGCTATGATGATGAATCTGTCTCTATGAGGGAGATCCCAGTTCAATCCCTGGGTTAGGAAGAGTCCCTGGAGAAGGGAATGGCTACCCACTCCAGTATTCTTGCCTGGAGAATCCCCATGGACAGAGGAGCCTGGCTGGCCACAGTCCATGGGGTTGCAAAGGCTCGGACATGACTGAGCAACTAACACTTTCACTTTTCTTGATGACTACAGCAGGACATGTGCATCTGTGTACACATAAACTACCTATAGTTCTGAGAATACAGCAGTGGGTGATATACTTAAAACCACAAGAACAACAAAAACAGGCTCTCCTATGAACCAGCCACCTTATTTATTGTTCTATTTTCTCTTGCTTACAACCCTGTGAAGGATTCTAATCTACCTATTCTGTGTCTGTCTCTTCCATTAGTCTCACTTTATCTTGCCAGCACCCAGCACAGCACCAGAAACAGATCTTTCTAATCTCTTATTTTTGAGAGGCTGGTCGAAGAGATAGTTATGGAAATGAAGAACTATCACTGGAAGAATAAGCTTCTTGGTGGGTAGCCATTTCCTTCTCCAGGTCAAAGACTGTCATCTACTGGGAAAAGTCATCATGTGCCTCTCTTAGGGCTGGAACTCCAACTAATGTGCCCTGACGACCACAGCTGGTTCCTACAACCTAGCCTTAAGAAAAATGTATTTCATTTCAGATTGAAATTGCTAAAAAAAAAAAAATCAGTGTCTAGTAGATTCCTAATTGTTCTAGAAATTTTTAAATGAACTTTATTTTTAGAATTATATGTTCATATATTGAAAGGAATATAGTTTTGCAATATAGTTTTCTGTTCTGTTTGTTTACTTTTGGCTGTGCCATGGGGTACCTTAGTTCCTAGTCCAGGAATTGAACCTGTGCCCATGCATTGGGAGTACTGTGCAGTCTTAACCACCGGACCAACTGGGAAGCGTCTGTTCAAGAAAACTGAACATCTGCCTCTTGGTCTGTTCTCTCTCTCTTTCCCCCTGCCTCCCTGCTTCCCCATTCTCTCTCCTACCCCTCCCTCTCTCCCCATTTCCTCCCCCCATCCCCCATTTTATCCAGCTACCTTTGGAGCTGCAGTTGCAGGGCAAACAGCGGTCTCTCTCCCTGTGTCGGTAAAACCCTTCCTTGCACCTCTCACAGTGAATGCCACCAGTGTTGTCACTGCAGTGGAGGCAGCGGAATCCATTTCCTGTCAGTCTGTGAAGCTCCTGATCAAAGATGCATTGCCTGGACTTCCCACTGCAGTCACAGACTAGGGATTAGGGGGAAAAAAAAAGACATCGTCAGCAGAAAACAAGTCAGGGCAATCCTCCTAGGTGTTTTATTAATATTATTAATAAAAATGATGCCTGGGGTACTACATACTAGTTTAAACTGCTCAGTGGCAAAAGGTAATGGGGTGAAATAGGCGGCAGGATGATGGAGGGAGTTCTCGGTTTACTTAGAGGAAGCGGTGCAGGAGGAGTGTTGCCTTGGAGAACACAAAACTACGTGAAGTCAGGTTTGCCGGACTGTCCGACACCTCAAGACAAACCAAAGCTCTATTATTAAATATTTTTATGTGAAAAGTCCTGATTTAAATATCTGCAAGGAATGAAACCCCACAGTACAAGGCTATGGGCTGGAGAAGACCTGAGGACCGCCAGGACGTGCGCTCTGGCATGACTGTGAAACAGCTGAAGGTGTGATCTGTTCAAGACCTACAGCATCTGTCTCTCCAGTGATGGTCAAGGCTGAGGAGCTAATTTTTTTTTAATTTACTTTATTGAAATGCAGTTGATTTGCAGTGTTATATTGGTTCCTGGTGTTCAGCAAAGTGATTCAGTTATACATACATATATTCTTCTTCATATCCTTTATTATGATTTGTTACAGGATATTGAATAAGTCCCCTGTGCCATGAGTAGGACCTTGCTGTTCACCCACTGTATATGTAATAGTTTGCATCTGCTAACCCGAAACTCCCAACCCATCCCTCCCCGACCCAGCCCCCTTGGCACCCACAAATCTGTGCTCTACGCCTGTGAGTCTGTTTCTGTTTCATTGGTAAGTTCATTTGTGCCATATTTTAGACTCCACTTATAAGTGATATCATATGTTATTTGTCTTTTTCTGATTGACTTCACTCAGCACGATAATCACAGGTCCATCTGTGTTGCTGCAAATGGCATTATTTCATTCTTTTTGAGGCTGAGTGGTATTCCATTGTGTGTGTGTATATCACATCTTGATCCATTCATCTCCTGATGCACATTTAGGTTGTTTCCATGTCTTGACTACTGTAAACAGTGCTGCCATGAACATAGGGTACATCTGTCTTTTTAAATTATAGTTCTGTCTCGGTACATGCCCAGGAACAGGATTGTTGGATCATATAGCAACTTTGGTTTTTTGAGGAACCTCCATTCTGTTTCCCATAGAGGCTGCACCAATTTACACTCCCACCAACAATGTAGGAGGGTTCCCTTTGCTTGAGGAGCTAATATGACTATCTGGACAGGTATTTCCTCCCTTCTCACTGTGCCATAAGTGTCTCTCCCAAAGCCAGGCGTCAAAAGGACTTTCCCCAGATGTCTAGGAAAGTTTACGCTGTGCATATTCTAAAGAGACTCATGGGGTGACTAACATCTCCATGCAGGACTGGAACAGCCAATGAGTTAACAGGGGAAATCCTTAGCGTTGTACCTAAGACCCCCAACAAATGTTTCAGTCACAGTCTGGAAAAGATGATGAACCTTGGGGTTAAAAGAAAGGTCTCAAGTACTAGTTCTGCTAGTTCCTCAAGCAATCACTTCAACTCTCTGAATCTTATTTCTTTTATAAACGTAGGCTGCGTTTTCTACTTCCCTGGTTGTCAAAAGGATCCCACTGAGAAAAGAAGATCAAGTCTTTGGTCTATGCTATTTCACCCCTCACTCACAGGAGAGAGGTATTGCCTCAGACGAGAAAAATGCAGCTCACAAAAGTTAAGTAACTTGAGCCAGTGGAAAGCTAGGATTTGAACCTCTGTCTGTTGCCAAAACCCACTTTCTTTCCCCCTGAGACACTGTCTCTATTGGCCATGCAACCCTAGCGAGAACTTGTCTCTGGCAATGTCCAGGGCCATGACTTACCCTGGGGACTCATTTTAAAAGTCAGCAAATGTACCAACATGTACAGAGCAGCTGCCTGTGCAGGCCTTGTCAGTTCTGATGGAACAAAGGTGGCAAAGGTGACTAAGTATAGCTGCTACCTTCATAAGGGATTTCTTTGCAGTAGCTCCTAAAAATCATTCTCTTACTCCTGTGGGTGCCCCTAACCTGAGCAAAGTCAAGAACCTCTATCCAGAGAGCAGTCTGTTTCTGGGACTTTACATTCAGCAGTTCAGTTAATTCTTGCAATAACACTTTAACATGGGTTTAATAATCCTCATTCAATAGATAAAGAAATGAATGCGTAGAGGGGGTAGGTGTCTCACCTAAGCTCACACAGCTAAGTGGCAAAGGTGTAACTGCTCCCGGGTGTGTCCAATTGCAATGCTCTCACCTCTCTATGTCACTCTTGTGTCTCAAGGCTCTGCTCTGCTACTGTGTGTAGGTATTCTTTCTATGACTCCCTCATGGAGAGTTATTCAGCCTCTTCTCCAGTTCTTCCTAATCTGCAAGATGTCCCATCCCTCCTGGGACAGCTCTGATTGTTACAAATTGTTTTTACGCAATTTTATTTTTTAAACTATAATTTTAATTGGTTCCCCTCCTTTTCTTACTCATCTGGTATTTTATTTATTTTTGGCTGCACTGGGTCTTCATCGCTGTGAACAGACTTTCTCTAATTGCAGTGAGCGTGGGCTTCTCATCGCGGTGGCTTCTCTTGTTGCAGAGCATAGGCTTCAGGTGCCTGGGCTCAGAGGCTGTGGCACAGAGGCTTAGTTGCCCCGAGGCATGTGGGATCTTCCCAGACCAGGGATGGAACTCATGTCCCCTGCATTGGCAGCAGATTTTTACCCACTGAGCCACCGGGGATGTCCCTGCAATTTTATCATGCATTCTGTTCTTCTGTGGAAAACAACACATACACAGATACACCTACTCTCTTCTCTATTATTGACTCATCAGACACTTATCACATTTACATTTACAAGGTGCTGCCTTAGCCGAGCCCTTGAGTATCTGAAGATAGGACCATCTTCATCTTTAGCCTTCTCTCCTTCAGGTTAAGCTGAAGAACTGTTACCTCCAGAACTTTCAACCATTTCCCAGGTCACAGTTTCTAGATTCATCTTGACTCCCCTCCTAGGAACAAACTCTCATTTTCACGGCCTTTCTTTAAATAACCAGAATTTATTACAGGTCTTCAAGTGCAGGTTGAGCAGCTCAGCTTACAGCAGGACCAGATATTGTAATTCCACGGATGAGCCTAACATTTCACTAAACTCACAGCCCAAGAAGTTTGCATTCAGTTCAAACTCCCAGGGCTTTTTCACAGAACTGATGCCAAGCCAAATCTTTCCCAACGAATGTTTGTGTAACGGATTTTTCTGGATCTCCAACAGATGTGCCACACAGCTGTCATGCGCTGTGAAATTTCTGCCAAGCAGCTCATTAGGCACGAACAAGAGCTAAAGCCGCCAGCCAACGATCCTTGTGAGGCTGTCCAGTTGGATCCCACACTGAGCCAGTGCCCTCCCTGCCCTGGATGACCTCTGGGAACAATCTCGAAAGAATTTCAAACATCTCATTGTTTTTTTTCTTTTCTGCTTTTTGTGTGGTCTCCGTTTTCTTTTTTTTGTATTTATTTTATGTCAATTTTGTTTATTTATTTGTCTGCGCCGGGTCTTGCAGGATCTTAGATCTTCGCTGCAGCGTTCAAACTTCTAGTTGCATTTGTGGGATCTACTTCCCTGACCAAGACCCCGCTGCATTGGGAGCGTGGAGTCTTAGCTACCCGGACCACCAGGGAAGTGCCTCACTGTGTCTTTTTTCATTCAAAACAAATTTTTTGCTGGTAGAAGTTAATTTCATTAGGAAGTGATGTATTTTTAGAGCATTATTTTAAAAATAGAAAACCCCATTATAATCTTTTTTTAACCATTTCCCTTTCCTTCTGTCCTTTCTGCTTTAAAGCTCTATTATGAAAGAACTAATGTTCTTCCTTTAAAATTCACAGCCTTCGATGGAGACGCCTTCATATAATTCCAGTACAGGAGGCCTTTAGGCAGCATCTCTCCACTCTGGAACTCCGCTGCAAACCTACTGTAAGCTACCCTCCTCTCTCAGTCGGGCTTCTCTTTAAGCCCAGGGTTATGTACGCTTCCCAGGTGGCGCAGTGGTAAAGAATTCGCCCGCCAATGCAGGAAATGCAGGAGACATGGGTTCAGTGATTCCCTGGAGTCGAGGAAATAGCAACCCGCTCCTGTATTCTTGCCTGGAGAATTCCACAGAGGAGCCTAACGGGCTATAGTCCATGGGGCCGCAAAAAGTAGGACGTGACTTTGCACACACACCTTTAATACATTTTAAAACAAGAGGAAACTTTAAAAATGTTTTTTTTTTTTTATTATACTTCCTTTTTTATGTTTAGCCTTGTTCAGCTTTAAATCTGTTATAGAATTTTTTTTAATTTTTGTTTTGAAATCTACTTGCTGTTCTTCTAAATTTGGGGCCAGCTGTAAATTTTTTAACTATATTGTCTGGTTTCCATCAGGGAGCCTTGACACAAAAGCAAATGATACAAGGATAAAGATGGGGATCTTGGACATATCCTGGGTCCATTGGGAATCATTTTTCCATGTCCATTCATCCAACAAATATAGACTGAACATTTATGTGCCAGACCCTGTTTCCAGGGATTTAGTGGTAGATAAAAACCAACAGATGGGACTACCCTGGTAGTCCAGTGGTTAAGAATCTGCCTGCCAATGCAGGGGGCATGGGTTCCATCCCTGGTCCTGGAAGAGCCCACATGTTGTGGAGCAACAAAGCCCATGAGACACAACTACTGAGCCCACACGCCTAGAGCCTGAGCTCTGCAACAAGAGAAGCTCCTGCAATGAGAAGGCCATGCACCGAAATGAAGAATGGCCCCGGCTCACTGCAACTAGAGAAAGCCCACATGCAAGAATGAAGACCCTGCACAGCCATAAATAAAAATTTTTTTTAAAAAACCAACAGATGTCCAAGACTTCATGGAGTTTTCATGAGACTTAGAGGAAAAGACATACATTTATTTCATTTATTTAGTAAGTATAACTTCACATCTAACAGGGGCACTGCC